AACAAGAGTCAAGAAACAAGATTTCATCAATCCAACACACAAATAGAAGATTTTTTTTTTTTTTTTTTTATTTGAATTTTGGGCAAAAAAGACGAAAGGATATTGTTCAAGAACTATTGAAGAGATTCAAGAATTCATGAATTTTCCTATTTTTCTTCCTACACATCTAGAATTCGGATGATGTCTTATCATTTAACCATGAATTCTTGTAATTTTATAATGCTCGGCTAAACTTTTAGCCATTAGAACTTAGATAAACCCTCTGTTTAATATCAATTTCAAGACTTTGAAGTTTAATAGTTATTTATCTTGAATGATTGTTATATTGCTCAATACTTTTCAGTTACATAGTTAAATTACTGTGTCGTCCTTATTGTATTAGAGAGAAAAAAATAAGGAATATAGCACATTATTGTGATCATAGTAGGCTCCAATAAGGGATATATATATACTATGTAATTGAATTTAGCGATCTTGTTTTTTAATACATTCTTTCATCTTCACATCTTTTATGGATATATACTAAAGTCACATGTGAAAATATGATTAATTCTATTCAATAAAGATTGTTGAATAAATACGAACATTTCTCGTCAAGATTAAATAAGTCCATGTTTGACAACTATTACCTCAAAACTCTTTAATTCTCATACTCATTTTCAAGTACACATTTACACAATAAAATATTTTATGTAAATTCAAAAATTTTCCTACTTTTAAGCACACATTCTCCAAAAAATTACTATCCAAAACTCAATTTTCTCATAATGGCCATCAATAAGGGCTTAATGTTGTCCTTGTCTTGAGTTTATTACTAAATAGGGATTCAAAATCTTAGGGGTTATTTTCTTTGTGTTTCGATTTTGTGTTTTTAGTTTTGAATTCATTTTGAGTTTTGTGTTTTGAATATTCATTTTGAGATTATTGAAAATGTGTTCTTTTTGATATTTTGAAAAATTATTTTCAAAAATCAAAAATCCTCTCTCTCTCTCTCTCTCTCTCTCTCTCTCTCCACTCCTCTCTGTCGATGAGCAACGACGGTGGCTGTGATCGGTGCGTGGTGTGCGACGATGGTTGATTGTGGTTGCGATAGCCGGCAGCTTCGTCTCTCTCTCACTCTCTCTCTCTCTCTTTTTTTTACTGTGGCGGTGGTGTGTGGTGGTTTTGGGTGCATGGTGTGCGACGGTGGTGTGGTACAAGTTGTGGTTGTGATGGTGGTTCTTGGATGTGGCNNTGTGATGGTGGTTCTTGGATGTGGCGTGGTTGGGTGCTGTGGTGTGGCGGTGGTGTTTGGGTGCGTGGCTATGGTAGTGGTGTGCGTGTTGTGGCGGTGGTGTGATGGTGGTTTTTGGGTGTGGTTGTGGTGTGGCGGCGGCTGTGGTGGTGGTGGTGGTTCTACGGCGATATTGTCGGTTTTTGTGGTGGTGGGAAATCTTGCGGTTTTGTGGTGGCGGTGTGGTGCAGGCGGCGGTGGTGGTGGTGGTTGGGGTGATGTTGTGGCAACGACATCGGTGATTTTTGTGGTAGTGTGGTGTAGGCAGTGATGGTGGTGGTTGTGGCGATGGCGGTGTGGTGCAGGGGGCGTTGGTGGTGGTTGAGGTGAAGTTAAATTGTAAACATCCAAAACACGTTTTGAAAATTTTGGCTTGATTACGTTTTGTAAATTTTTAATTTGTTTTCAAAAACGCGTTTTCGAAAATAGGAAAGATACCTTATTTTTACTGTTTTGGAAAATTAAAAACAGAAAACAGTTTGAAAATGATAAAGAGAAGTGCTTGCTTTTAATCTGCTTTATAAACTCTTCTTAATCGCTCATTAGATTATTTTTAGATAATTAGTTATAAAACCCAATATTCATTATTTGTTGTTCGATTGGAGTTAGTATTAATTAGATCTAAATTAAATACTTGGTCCTCGATGAAACGATACTTTATTCACTCTTGTTACTTGGATACCATACCAGACACCTGCGGAAGTTTAACCACCAACAAACACAGGATTGACAATGAAGTGGTCATGAAATATTTCACAGGTGCAGGAAATTGTAGTCACTGGACATAGCTGCTATGGAGGAATTAAGGGCCTCATGTCTATCCCGGATCCCGTAAGACAAATTCAAAATAAGTAACGTTTTTTACTTAGAAATATGAAAAAAGTAATGTATCTAGACACGTTTAAACAAAAACTAAAAAGATTTTCATTCGAACAAATTAATTAGAGCACTGAGTAGTATTAACACATGTCTTGAAACAGAACTTTTTGTTTCCACTGGAGATCATAATTCTGATCGTTGCAGCCGTCATATTTGAAGAAATTATGTGATAGTGGGCCCCATTTTGTAGAAAAAAAAAAGGGGCAAACAATTGATTTTCTTGAGAAAATAATCTAAGACAGATGTGCTTGGCTAATCAAGTAGTGAATTAATGAATAATACTTCAAGTGTATGTTTGTTACCGTACTCGAATGCACCAAACAGTATAAGTTGTATAACAAACAAAATGCCAACCTTTTTCTTTTTTTCTTTGTTTTTTTTTCCCCTTTTTGTACTGTTCAGTGCAATCCTATCATCCCTACCCAACATATCTCAAGACAGGATCAAGACAAAAATTAGAATCCAGCCTGTATCCAATACTACATAATAGCATCATCTAGTGTCACTCTCTAGTGATTGAAAAATGCAATGAATGCATTGAAGACTGGGTGAAGATTTGTTTAACTGCCAAAGGTTCAAGCAGTCGAATCGTATGGTTTTGGTAAGATTGTAGATGATATCTTACTCGTTGCAAGATTTTAGAGAAATTCCATAAATTGAAATTCACTATTATTTTGAACTGCAACAGGTTACAGTAAATGTGTCACTTGAGAACCTCCTGACATGTCCTTTTGTTAGGGAGGGTTTAGTGAAGAATACATTAGCACTAAAGGGTGGTTACTACGATTTTTTCAGAGGAATTTTTGATTTGTGGGGACTGGATATTGGCCTTTCTCCATCTCTCTATGTATCAACTGAATGATCTATGTTCCGCGAATCTCTTTAAGCAAGTTTGGTAAAGTGAAATATATAATACTTAAACCCACATGCCCTTTTTGTTTATATATATATATATATATTGTGTGAAATAATGGATACGACTCGATAAATATTTTTCCTTCGGTGCTGTCAAGTCGTGTCTAATCTTCCCTTACCAAATATGACATAAATGTAGACTTGTAGTTAAGATATACTGGGATTGCTTTTTATTTTTTGCAATATAACTTTTGGAGTCTCAATTTTGGTATAAGAATGACAGTACGGAACACTTGCCCAGTTAATCGGCTATGCTAAATTAATGCATTGGCAACAATCCATCAAGCATTGTGTACGTCCAATCATACTTAGAAGACACGTCACTCACAATAGTGGACGTGCAAAATTTCACGATGTACTAACTATTCGACCAACGATGACCCTTTGATCAGTCGGAGTCTTTTCTTCGATGATTGTTAGTTAAATGAGAAATTGTCTGTCTCAGTTGAAAGGGCATAAAGTGGATTTGTGATTAACCAACATGCTACAATATATGCAGAGGTGTAAAAGTGGATTGAGTTGACCAATCCAGGGCGATGCATCACCATTGACAATTTTACTTTTCTCGAATCTTTGGATGCAGCAATTGAGCTTTTATTAACATATCAAATATGCAGTTGGTTAGACAAGCTGCTAAGATAAGTAACGAAAAGAATAACTTATCCGAGCATGTCTGAAATTAAAATTACTTAAGGTTAAGTAACTTTTAACCTTAACCAAACATGCTCATTACCCTTCAGGAAACAACTAAATACAAAATAGGCCTTTCATCAAATCAGAAAATGACAGTATTCCATATGGAAATAGTAGTTGAATGCTTTCAATCAAAAGTAGTTGAAACAACAAATGATAATAAAATCAACCATTATTTTTATGAAACCACAATATACAAATAGTGAAAAAAGAATTTCATCAACTCACATTTACAAACAGAATCCAGAAAGGCAATCCAACAACCAATTTTTTTTTTTCTAAAATTTACTTCTGAATTCTAAAAAGAAAAAGAAAAGACAATTCATGATACCATAATGCTGTCATTCATTGCAGTCTGAGAGGTATTAATGAGTAACATTTCCAGTGACAAGGATTTTCTGTACCTGACTGTTCCTGCGTCTTTTAGTAACTCAGCCAATCTGTGTCTCTCATCATCTGCATTAAGATTTGCTGTTCCAAGCTTCTCCTCTCTCATCCCAACGACATATTCCATGATTTCAATTGCATCATCAGTCCTACACAAATTTAGTCCACGAGGTTCATATATAAAAATGGTTTATCCGTTAAAAGATTATCTGTTTCCCAATTTCCATGTTATCAGATATATGTCTCTTCGTAATTCAAATATCAAAATTAAGAAAACAACTTTAAAAAAATAAAATAAAAAATGCAACATGAGATTTAGATTGAAAAATGTGAGTTAAAAAAATGTAAATATGTAATACATATCTGAAGGTAAAAGTGGAGGAACTAAGTTTAACTTGTGAATTGCTATATATGGACAACTATAATACTAAAGATTATTGTTAAATGCATAATTATCAGTATAAACTATAGCAACATTAAAGAATAAGCAGTTACCTGCCCATTGCATCATAGGTTCCAGCAAGATTGCTATAAACTCCTAAAGTGTCAGCATGATACGGCCCGCATTCAGCCTCCAAAATGCTCCTGGCTTCTTCGAAAAAATCAGCAGCCTCGTTTATTGAATAAAGTTGCACACAAGCAAGGCCCATTTGATTCAGAGTAATGCCGAAAAGGGTAGATTTCTTTTCTCCAGTTTCCTGAAACTTTGAGATGGCGTTCTTTAAAGAGTCGTAAGAATCAGAATAACTCCCCAAAATATAGAACAAGACCCCTATCTGGGCTTCAATTCCTGCAATTGTGGTTTGTTGTCCTGGTGCGCTACCATATACCTTTATGGCTTTCTGAAGTAACTGCAATGCCTGGTCAGGTTCATTCATGGATTCATAGATAGCAGAAATATCCACTAGACCACTGGCAATCTCTTCCTGGAGACTTCCAGGGACAGGCTTAGAATATATGCGAAGTGCATTTTCACAGTAAGATTTGGAGTCACTGAACTTCCCTATCTTGTTGTATAAATCAGCCAAACGGACAAAGACTGAAGCAACTGACGGATGGCTTTCTCCTTTGTTCGACTTTAACATATTGAGAGCTTTCTGATAAGAAAAAATAGCTTCATCATACCGTGCCAAAGATAAATATGCATCACCAATGCTGCAGTCAATGGCAGCCACATCTGCATTCTGGCCATTGGCAGCCATAGCAATGCTTGCTAAAACATATTGCTCAAGAGCACCTTCATAATCTCCCTTAGACTCACAAATAAGTCCCAGAAGTCTCCTATCTGCTGCTTCCTCAGGGGAAGCTGAGGATCCTCTCTCTTTATGGATGTCAAGTGCCATCAGGCAAAGCTTCTCAGCTTCACCAAATTGCATTGCCTGAACATGAGCTTCAGCCAGATACCTGCAAGTCTCCCCAAATCGAGGGTCTTTTTCCCCCAGAACTAGTTGTTGAATCTCCAAACCTGCAGTGTAACACAGAATAGAGTTCTCAATCTTCCCGAGCATCGCATAGGTATCACCCAACTGCATGCACCCGGAAAATTTAGCAAGTGCATGATTTTGTCCCAAATTCATCACTGGAATTTCAATCGATCGCTCAAGAATGGGAATTGCCTCAGTATGCTGGCCAAGCCTGCAGTATATTGCTGCAACTACATGCAGACACATAACGAGATCTAAATTAGGCTTGGCATTTGCACGTCTCTCAAATGATTTCATTGCTCGAAGAGCCAACTCAAGAGCTTTTTGAGAATTATCCCCAGATGCTATGACGTCCCTTGCCTGTTTGAGTAGATATGGTCCAAGGTATCCTGCCTCACGATGATCCTCATTTCCATTCTGCAATCTCACCCCTTCTAAAGCGGGACTCCTTTCATTTTTAGGAAAGGAAACTGAACTGAACTTTTTCAAAGACTTCATAGTTTCCTTGGCCTTTGGTGGTCTGCCTTGAAAAGTTTTGCTCCTTAAATTAGCCTTACGAGATGCTTCAGTGTTGAATTGCAAGTGAGAAAGTCTTTTTGTTTCTGTGGGATAAGGATGGATCTTATTCGTATTTTCAAGATTCTCATTAGATCCTTTTTCTTCCTCAGAATTAGTGTCTCCTCCATTATGTTTAATTACCACCTCTTTTTTCATCTCCACCTCGACGTAATCTCCTCCAGCAAGAAACCGCAACTCAGAATCAATTCTTGACTCCTCCCCATATGATAGGAAACTACGCCTGGAGGGTGAATGATCAGAGCTCTGCATCTCACATACATTGTTATACAATTGCTCAATAGAGGTGTCAACGGCCTCATCTATTGGCAGATCGATAGAGTCATTCTCGGGACTCTGTGAGCTCAATGGTGGACTGTGTGTAATCAAGGGACTTCTTGGAGACCTCTCGGTGAAAATTTCTTTATGAGGCACATAATGTCTCTTGGGTTCATTTCTGATGCTCTCCCCAGTTGATCCATCCATGACATACTCAGACATTGAGAGGCTGGTTACAAATCAATGCCGGCTCAAATTCTTCCTACTGATTCTGCCTAGAAAAAATATTACCGGAAAAAAAATTTAAAACCTTTAACTGCCAACTCATAATCATGCGAAATTCAAGAACTTCAGTTGGTAAAATCAATAACTAACCATGTCTAACTTCCAAGTCCCAGCCACTGTGTTGCGTTAAAGAAAGGATATATAAGGAATTACTCTATCTTAATTAATGCATATTTAATGATGTCTCAATCACCAAGATCAATACAGATAAGAACAATTTTAATGTATTGTACCAGAAATTTATCAATAATGTTAAAATGAAATGTAAATGTCGAGAAAATTAGAAGTATACAACCACAAGAAAATTTAGAATCTCAAAGATTGAAAAAAATATTATTTCTGTTTTCAATTTTTCACTAGTGTTAGGGCGTATCTTTCCATCATAAACCAATCGCAATAAAGAACCATAAAGCGTAAAATTATGATACTCAAAGCAATTTACGTCGAGAAATTAACAAAAAATTCAACAAAATAACAGGCCAAATTCAACCATTAGTGTTGAGGGTAAAAGCCATGTTGCTTAAAAGAGAAAACACTAATCAAGTTGAAACGCAAGAAACGGCTTGTTATCAAAGTTCAAATGAGCAATTCCATATATTTAACCCTCAAACGGGTCTGATATGAAATATCATTGTTCTAAAACGAGGCACCATCCTACAAGCAGGTTAATATGAAAAACAATAAGCCTTGTGCTATTCAATCCAATACAAAGCCCTATTTTTTACGATGAGAAAATTAACACATAATCCAGAAGATGACATGCGAAATTCAAAAAAGTATTGCAGATATCCAAATTAAATACGAAACAATAAAAAATTAGCATTAACATTAACATACCGTGATAATCCTCGAATAAAAAACGTGAAATGTATTTGTTCAGATAGAAATCCGGGATCGTTATAGCTTTTCCTCCATTATCACCCTTATATATATAGAAGATGAAGAGACAATATATGGGGCTGTTTGAATTGATTATGAAGAATAAAAGATATTAAAAGAAAAAGGGATGGGAATCAAATGATTGAAAAAAAGTATATGTATATATGTATGTATAGGTGAGACGCAGAGAGGAGATGTTGAAATGTTGAAGGGGACTATCACCGCCGCGCCTATATTTACGCTCCCTCCCTTTATTTTATGGTTTCATATTTGCACTTTTGATGAGATATATTCTTTCAATCATTCCACAGGTACATTTTATTTGATATTGTGTCATGTGTCGACGTATTATTGAACAGTATTAAGAAAACACATACTTTCTTGTCCCTCACCTTTTGAATTCTCACACAATATCAACAAAAGCGTACACTTAGCATAGTTCATATTCTTTTCCCAATGATGTCAATTAATTTTTAATAAATTAATTGTTTTATTTTCTCAAAAATCTCAATACAATTGGAAATGAAATAATCATAAAAAATAAATACGAGTTTTTAATTTAGTCAACATTAATGTTACAATATCAATCTAGGTGGTATTAAGTATCATTAAATGAATCCTACAATTTCACTTGTAATTGAACTTATCACATAACACCACTGATGCTGAAAGCATTACTCACAGTTAAAAAGTTGTGGATCTCGTAAATATATGATTAAAATTAAGAGATGTGCTTGGTGTACGCATTTGTGCACACCCCCGACTGACAACCCTCTGACAGGAAGTGGGACCACGAGGACTGTCATCTTGGCTGTACACCACACTCAGCAAAAATCCAAAGTCAATAGGTGACTTTCACTTAATTTGATATTAATCTTAACATAACATGGGCACAATGGGTATGTGCAATAACTAATAACCAATGTTTTAAAAGCTTCGAGCATTTGCCTAAGTTAAAGAATAATATTATCTAGAATTAATTGTACTAAAGCATCAGTTTTGGTGATCATTTGATATATTCAATTAAATGAATTAAGTGTCATTGTATTTAAGTGAATTTATAATTTAATGATATGCAGTTGCAGGGGCGGAGCCAGGAAATGTATTAGGCAAATTCATGGTGAAAAATTAAAAAAAAAAGTAAAATTTGTCGAGCCCAAATATTAATTTTAGCCTAATTAATTTTATTTATAACCTAAGTGTAAAACTGAAATGATACACATTTAACCAAATATTTAAATCAAATTAACCAAATATTTTTTAAAAAAAATTGCTTTTGGGCTGGGTTAGGGCTGGACTATAGCCCACCCCTCCCTCCGCCCCTGTGCAGTTGTCACCTAGATTAATACTTGACATTAACGTTACTGAATATATTACTCTTTAAGTTAAAATAGTAAGGTATTAATGGTAAAAAGATCAAGGTTGAACTAGTGATCAACAAATAAATTATAATTTACATTTGCAATATGATTTTTACCTCACATTGACTTTTATCTTCTCTCTTAAAGTCTTTTTATTTTATTTTTAAGGACAAAATTAACTTATATTTGTTTCAATGTTTAATACATGATGCAGAAAAGATTGCTCAATAATATAATTTTTAAGATTAACGTAACTTTATCCAAATCTAATTACGAAAGATTTTTCCTCTATTTTTGTTTGGATCATGTGACTTTGACACTTTGTCACCCTGGGCGGGTTTTTTGGCTTTTTGAGCCCCGAAAGACTTGTATGCGATCCAGTGGAGCTACGGCTACCCTCATACCGCCACTAGTAAATCTCCACGTGGCTATGAGTTGTAACTTGGCTGGCGTAATCCGTGGACCTTATGAGGGGTTCACACTGGATAACCACAACTGAAGGCAATTGGATTTTAGAAAAACTGATCTGGAATCTGAAATTTAATTGGAATTTCTTTAATGGGGTCCACATTAGAGAATGGACCAGTGGTGGACCGCTTTTCACTCCGGGACCAATAAATTTTGGTATCATTTTTCGCCCCGTTTGGTGTTTTTAAAAAAATTGATAAAAATTAAATCAAAACTAATAATTAATTTTAATCATGAATTTTAAGAGACCTATAATTTTTATTAATTTTTTAATCACGTATTTTATCTATTTTTATTAACTCTACAAATAAATTAATTTTTAACTACACCAAACAGGGATAATTTAGGAAAAAAA